GAAGATTTATTTCTGGTTTTTCAAATACAGCGAACTCTGAAGGGTATTAATAAGAATATTTTACATCTCTTATCTTTCAGCATCTATTATGTTTATAAAGAATCTTCCTAATTTTAAGCATTATATTACTGACAGTAGCATCATCATCATAAAGAATGATGACTATCACACATTTAATAATTACACTTAGTTCAATAATAATGATTGCATAATCTATTTCTTAATCCAGAAACCAAATTTTTCCTTCTTGTAATCTTTCACTCTGATTGAAGCTCTGTAGGTTCTGTGACAAATCTTTTAGTAATAAAATATGTTGTATCTTAATCATTAGTCTATTATCTTACTGTATAATTGTCAGTATATAACCAAATTTTTTTGATTCTTTAGATTCTCTATATATTATAAAGTTACTAAAGTAGTATATTTCTACAAAAAATTTGTTAAACATTAGTTTGTTAACAAAAGAAAACAATTTGATTTATATTTAAATGTTAGTATCTTGAGCGACTATAATAGATGTTTGTCTAAATCTTGCAGATTTTTTCCATATATTTCTATACCAAAGTTCTTTGTTTTTTTCAATTTTCTGGTCTGGTCTGAAGTATATTAAGTTAAACAACAAAGGATTATTTAGAATATAACATATAATATCTGAAATGGATAAATAATATATTTTCCCTATATCTTTAGATATGGATAGCATTTTTTTACTAAAAATATGAATCTAACAAGATTTGATGGTAATCTTTGTCTATATTTCTGAAATGTCAGCAATTTAGTATTACATCTTTAATTTTGAATTGTGAATAATGTATTATGTCTACCAGTTTATCATAAGATTAGGTAACTGGTAAAAAATACTGTAAGTTACTATATCATCATTTAAAGTTTTAAAAAATCAAACATACATATATAATGTTTTCTGTTTAAAAAACAATAATTCAGTGATATTCTTGAAATATATTATGAATTCACTAGAAGTTCATGGTATTTGTTCATTATTGAAAGATTTATCAATTATAACTTTTTCATCTAATTCCTTTTGAATCATTTCTTTCTTATTATTATGATTTTTTTCTTCACTTTTATTAAACTCTATCATTATTCTCTCATATTCATTCATATCACCTTCTCTCATTTCATTATTACTATTAAATTCTATATTATCTTCATTTATTTTCTCATTTTCTATATCAAAATCTGCTATTTTCTCTTCTTCGTTGTAAATATCTATCTCAATTTGATTATCTCTAGTAACATCTATATCACTATTACTTTTCACTTCAAAATTTCTTTCATTTAGTGATACTGCTAAAGGCAATTTTGAAGATGTATTAAATATATTATAGCATTATCTAATATAATTACATTGATTATTAAAAGAGGAATAGCGATTTCTAAACATATTATCAAATGAATTATGAAAGATAAAAAAAAATATTATTAATATTAAAAAAAAAAAACAAAAAACTCCAAGTATTTAAAAGGTTTAAAGTGATATAATTATATAATACAATATGATATTAATATTGTCAAATATGTAAAATAATAAATAGTTTAATTTAATAATATTAATTATTTTCTATCTAACACTATTAATTGCTAAATAAGGTATAATTTGTAAACAATGATATAAAAAAATATACATAAAAATTTATGTTAAAAGGAAAATGATTCAATTTTTCAACATTAAAAAATTATAAAAGTATACAAAAGTTTGTGAATAAAAGAAAAACAATTCAATTTTTCAACTTCAAAAAATTCTTTTGTAAAATACTTTCAAAGATCCGAAATTGAAAAAAAAGCAGAATGATATTTCTGTCTAAAATACATCTACTAAAAAAATGACTTCTGCTAAAATAGGTCGAAAGAAAAAAGAACCTATTAAAGAAGCTTTATATAATAATAATAGTGGTGATAAAATACAAAAGTCAAAAATGATTCCTGCTAAAAGAAGCTGAAAGAAAAAGGAACCTATTAATGAAGCTTTACATAATAATAATGGTAGTAGTAAAACATAAGAACTTCCTATCAAACAAGGTTAAAAGAAAAAGAAAAATGAGCCTATTTTAAATAATGATAATAGCAATAAGTCTTACATTAATTGTCAAAAGAAAAATGAAAACAATGATGAAATCGAAGAAATCAATAATGAAATTAATGAAAATGATGGTAAAATCAAAGAAATCGATGATGAAATCGATAAAATTGATATGAAATTGATGAAATTGAAGAAAGTAAAGAAAGTGATTATATAACTGAAGAAATATGAGTGGAAAATTCTACTAGTAAACTTTTAAAAATAAGTGATGATAGCAAAGGTAAATTTTCACTTTAAAATATGTAATATAATAAATTTTATTCTTATTTTTTTTGATTCTTTATTTTTTAGATAGAAATTAATTTAGTAATAGAAGTATTAGAAATATCAGATGCAAACCTTTTGCGTTACTTACAAATAATAGGATTGATAATGATACTTCAGATGAGATGATTAGATCTCACACGGATGTAAATGATACCATTCTAGATTGCATTTAAATAATACTATACCTTGTCCTACAACTAGTTCTATATCTTCTCCTACATCTATTAGTTTTACATTTCATCTTACATCTCATTCTAATACACTTTACCCTATATTTTATTCTATAACTAGTTCTATATCTTGTTCTACATCTTATCCTAATATACCTCAATCTAACAATGCACATAGTCTCAATAATATATCTTGATCTAACAATATATATATAAAACTGAAATTCAATGATAATATATTTTGCTCAAATTCTTATCTTACACCTCAGTCTAATGAAAGATTCTATAATTAAACATCAGAATCTACTAATCAATCAACACTTCTGGCATATTCTGTAATATGAATAATATTCATCAAATATATTTGTGATTATTTAAGAACCTAAACATCTTATTACTTATATATAATATATATCTATTGATATAAATACCAATTATGAATGCATTTCATTTTACTTCAAATTTTAATTCATCTACTTTAATAACTGGTGTATCACAAACTCTAAAGCAAGAAAATAAGGTAGGTATAACAATAATTTATTTTTTATTATTTAATGTTACTAATTGCTAATTTAAATAATATAGACAAAAGCAAATCGGGATTTCTTGAAGAGCTTAAATATTTGTTTCTTCAGATCTGAAATCCTAGTAAGAGTGCTTTTGAAAAATTGATCTGACAAATTTTTAATTGCAATCTTAATTCAGATGAAAGAATAGAATATCTACGCGTGGCGAATAAAAATTTTAGTAACTTTTAAAATAAATTTCTTGATAGTATTGAAGAATTGATTGATATATTCAAAGAAGAGGGATGCTGATAAGCAGATTATTTGTTTTCTTTACTTCTGTTGTATTAGTTATTTTTGCTAATTTATTTCTTTTATTTATTACAGAGATGCACTTAACCTTTGAAAAGTGATATGATTACGTTCATCAATGAAACTTCAATGATAAACACCTTACAAAGGTGGTTTAATGTAATAAACATAATTGAGTTAAGAGCTCAAACCTTTTTATATACTTTACAAAAATTTGTTTAAAAGGTATTTATCATAAACTATAATTCAAGGGATACTGATGGAATGAAATCAGGTAACAAAGGATGTAATGGTTCTATCTTAAAATAAAAAAAATATCACTAGCAACTTACGATTATGTAATATGAATTATTTAACAATTTAATAATACTTATATCAATATTATATTCTTAAAATCTTAGTTTATTTGTTTCTGTTATACTTATTTCTTCATTACTACTAATTTTAGTATTTATAATAACATTTTTTAATATATTAACGTTAATTTTTATGATAATATTTAATTTTATTATAAATTTTTATTATAATATAATATTTATTTTATTACAATGGAATTTTATTACAAAAAGGAAATTTTTATTATAAATAGATTTTTATTACAATGAAATTTATTATTATAATTTTTATTATATAAACTTTATTTAATAAAATATAATGAAAAAATGAACCCAAAATACTAATTTGAGAACATAGTGGATTCATTGCCAAATAGTTAATATATCGAAAAAATAACTTGAATTAAGTTTTTTCAGCTATCTTGTAATGATATTTATCATCTATTTAAGATCATTCTTTTATTATATTATGATTTCAAGCAAATAATTTTTTGATAAATTTACAAGATCATCTGTTTAATACTAAATTGCTGTGATTTGATAACGATCACTTAACCACATGGTAATAACAAATAAATTTTATTTTAAATATTTTTTTATTATAGGAAATAGAAATTATTTAAAAAGATTTTAACTAATATTATAAATATTTTTAATATAAAAAAAATGATAATAATTGTTTTATTATATTATGATATAATAATATATATATATTTATACAATTTAAAAACAATTTTAATTTCAAAAATAGTTTTAATAAAAAGTAAATATCTGTATAATTTATCATTAATCTTTAAATATTTTTATTAATACTTTAAACTTTGAAAAAGTATTAAAAAGCAGTTATATTATTATTAATCATTAATTTGTTAAATGAATAGTTCTAAATATTATTATAGTTATAATTATATATAAATGATTATTTGAAAAATAAATATTTTGTCTGATAAATTTATATTAAAAATATATATTATTATTTAATTTACTCTGTAAATGAATTGTTAAATTATGGATTGATTATGGTTTTTAGAATAATTTTTGATTAGATTTTATTATGAAATCTCTGTGATAATTATATTGAACAAATTGAACAATTACAAGTTATAATCAAAAATCAGTAAAAAAATTTATTGTTTAACAGGCGTTTAAAAACGAAAATTTTTAAAATTTTCTTTTGATTAAAATTCAAAACAACTATATTTATAAAACAAATTACCCAGTAAAATTTTAATAACAATATAATATAATAACATATAATACAAATACTTACAAACTAAAAATAAAATATTCTAAAAGCCATTACTAAGATTTATTTTTTAAGTTTTTTAAGGGAATGTAACCAATTTAATAAATAATTAAATGGACAAAGACATGAACTAGTATGATCATCTTGATCATCTTGATATTCCAAATTATCTTGTCCGTCAATTTGGCGAGACTCTGCAAGATAAATACAGTAAATCAATATAATTGGACCTCAAAAAACCAAACTATGCGATATTTATTTACCTGAATAGGGAAAAGAATTTAGCAGCTTGGACCTTCTGTCAGTATTAATGATTCTAGGCATATCATCAAATTCCAATAATCTACTATGATAAACAGCTTCAGGATGGCTAACATAAAGAAGCGGAGTAGGAGTGAAAGTAGAAGAGTTTCTAGACATCTCATCACAAGATTTACACTGTGCATTAATTTCCGATAATTGATCGTTTTGTAAATCATTCCACCATTGAGTTAATAATTCATTTAATTCTTTAGCAGAAGGTCTGTTATTAGGCTTCGTTTCCCAACACCTTTGAATTAATTCTGCCAGTAATCTCGGAGTATGCACCGGAATTTCTGGTCTTGACCCTCGACATATTTCAGCGGCCAACCGACTATCATGAGCAACATTATTAAAAGGCGGTAATCCTGATATAATCTCATTCATCATTACACCAAAAGCATAAATATCACTTTCTTTGGAAAATATTTTGGAGTGTAATACTTCGGGTGCTAAATAAGGTAAAACCCCATAAATTTCTACTTTATCCCTTAATAATGAAGTGAATTTAATCGTTGGTTTTTTAATACCAACGTCTGTAATAATGGTTTCTCCTGTTCCTGTTCTTAATATATTTCCCACATGAAGGTTATAATGTATGTAACCTGATTCATGCATCCACTCTAATCCTCGTGTTATGCTTGAAAGTATATTCATCTTTCCATACCAATTCATTGTGTTGAATCTTCCATTCAGGTATGATCTAATACTTCCTTGAACCGCATATTCCATTACGATCATATAATCATCTGTTTCCGGATATTGTGTAATTCCATAATACTGAACGATGTTACTATTATCATGTAACTGTAAATGTACCTTTACGATCTAAATAATAATAATAATAATAAGAATAAGAAACAGTTAATAGCTGTGTAACGATAAATCATTATTATTCAATATTCAAAGGCATACTTGATTGAGAAATTCCATAGTGATAAACTTAGAATTATACAATCGTTTAAGTGCAACCATATCAGTTCCGTGCCGTTGCCACTGTTCGAGATTATTATCCCACCCTAAAATATATCCATCCACCCAATAAGCAGAATATACCGTACCAAAACCGCCTTTCGACACGTATTTTACATCTTGAAATTTATTAAAGGGAATCCATTCCAACACATATTTATTACTCCTTGCCGATAATTGAGCATTTCTTATTATCTTATTAACATTTTCGTTTCCACTTGACCAATAATCAAATTGAGAACGAAACTGTAACGAGTTACATGATCGACACCAATTATCTTCGCCTGTATTCGGTTGATTGCAATTTGTACATTGTCCAAATTTTTCTAATAATTCTTTTTCAGATGTTGAATTCATTTGAAATGTTACGGTAGACATTTGAGCTGTTGATGCTCTTTCTTTTAAATAATGTGAAGAAGGATATTCTTCTAGTAATCTTGATGACGTTATTGACACGGCCTCAGAATTACCACCAACCAAATAATCATTATCATGTTTATCTTCGTGTCCTTCATCTGTTGAACGTGACGTTGTTCCTGATAATTCAGTCGAATCTAAATGCTTCGTTGCTTCCACTTTCTCTTCTTCTAAAGGTTTTATCTCTTTCTTTATTGTGGTCGTAACATCAACAACTTGAGTTTCTGACGACATTGTGATTTATCTATAAAATAAATTTAAGATAAAATATTTTTAATTTGGCATTATGGAAATTTATAATAATGGTAAAGTAATAATAATTTAATAATTAATTACCTTAATAATTAGAAATAACTTTGATAATTTTAAAAACTGGAAAAAAACGAGATTTGATACTGCGGCACAATAGCGATTGTAAATCAAAATTTGTACTAGATACGATCAATTGATTAGCGTTTAATCTGATAGTTTAAAATTAACTGAATTCAAAACAAACATGTGAGTTGGTCAATTAAAAAAAAAAAAGGGTGAGAGGAAAAAAAAAAAAACGAATAACGGAATTATTTCATAAAACCACACTATAAATACCTTTTTTTCTTGGTTTTTATGTCTAAATAAGAAAATAGGTGTTTTACATAGTAATTTATTATTTATGGAATATCTATGGCGTTTCTTTTGTCGTAATCTCATGATTATAACTTTTGGCGTAGCCCTGTAAAATGTCTATAATGGGTTCATTGTTAATGCAGGTTTTTTTTTTGAAAAAAGAATCATTATAAAAAATTTCCAATTCATCTTGTTTTAAGTTGTACAATGCTGTGATTATATAGATTTGTCATGTAACATGTCACACCACACATCACGATACCAAATAAATTCGTTATATTTTTAGGCCATCGTCTTACAAATTATTTAAATTATTTAAATGATGCCGTGTGACCAACAGTATCGAAGTTGCTGCGCCACAGAATATTCGGAATCGATCGTACAAATTATTTTGGGTCCGAAGACGTTTCATCATTAGGGTAACAATAGATACTAATGCGATTGATTATAAACGGCTAATAAAAATATCTGAACTATAACGTAACCACTATATAAATAATTCACATGTTTTTTTTTTTTTTTTTTTTAATAAAGCTCCTCCGAGCTAAGCAGTGCGCACCGACCAATCCGTCGCAGATCATAAATTATTCACTGGTAGGAATAGTTTCACACTACGCAATTAAGACATTCAAAAGTTCTCCTGCAAAGATCTTTGCCAAGACTTTTGTCGCATTGAATTCTTTGTTTTAAAAAATAATGGGTGTAATAAATGCTCAAAATCTATATAACACTAGTGTATAGCTAATATACTGTATATAATAGTGCAATCGTTATTATTATTGAAATGAAAGTAAAGAGAGATGGTTTCAACCTTTCATATCTCTATATTAATTGATTTAAGGTTAACAAAAAGCGAAGAAAATGGTAGCCAGACAGGTTTATTGAATCTTACCATCATTATATATTTGAATTGTTAGAACTAAACAAATCGAATTAATATATAATTATTATTAATTCAATACTAATTAATTTAAATTAATCTCATATTCATATATAACAGTATATTAATATCATGAATTTATATATTTTAAAACAATTTGTTAAAGTTAAAATTAGTTTACTATAAATATTTTCTTTTTATTGGTAAAAAATTGCAAACAAATTTTCCTGCAATTTTAATCTAATAAATAATATTACTTAAAAGATTAAAAGATAATTTATTAATTAAAATAATCAAATTATATAATTAAATTATAAACAGAAAATAATTTGTAATTAGTATTATTATAAAAAAGGTTAATACTTTATAAATACTAAATAAAAATTTAAAATTAAATAATTTTTAAAATAATTAAAGTTTTCAAATTACATTTTAAACAGAAATAATAAATATATTAGCTTATGTAAAATTTTATAAATATTAATTTAATATTAATAAAAATAGAAATTTAAGTAACAAATACCAGACATATCACATGTAGACCATAGCAAATGACATGTTAATCATTTGATTGACAAAATTTTATATGCTTTTTATCACATTTTTGATTTTATGTATAATATAATTATGTAATATTACTAATTTTATTTTATATAAATGTTTATTTAGTTCCTTAAAATATTTTTAAATTTTAAAAGTTATAGTTCAATAGTTTCAAGGAAATTTTTTTAAACATATTATCTATTATATGTCTATACTAATATATAAAAGTATTGTAAATAATTTTAATATAAAACTAGAAAAACAGAAACTATTATATATCTAAAGCATCATTTATATCACAAAAAAACAAAAAAATAATTTAATATAAAACTAATTTTTTTATTATTATTACCTGATCATGTAAAATATTGTTTATTATACCTAATTCTAAAATTTAATTAAGCATTTTTATAAAATGATAGACACATATTACATGATTTTGAATGTATATAATATTTCTTTACTATATTTCAGATAAAAATGTTATACTAACTTAAGATTTTAATTTTATTATAATTTTTTCTATTAATTAAAAAATATAATATAAAAATAAAATTTTTTATTAAATTATTTAATATTAACAATTACTATTCAATTTTATATACAAACTATTTATTACAATTAAAATTGTTAAGTAAAATCTAGAGTATTATAAATTATCTAAATGTAAAAGATAAAATTTAATAAAATTATATTAAAACTTTATTAAAAAATTTACAAAATTCTAAAAAAGTAAAATTATATTAAAAGCTTATAAAAATGCAAAACTATATCAAAACCTTAATAAAAAATTAGCAAAACTAAAGTTTAGATATTTTACCAAATCTAAAATGAATTAAAACTTAAAATTGTTTAAATCAAAATCAGCTAATCAGAAGTTATTATATAGCATAAATTGATTTTTTACTATAAAAATTATTCTAACCATTTTTATATAATTAAAAATTGATTTTTATTATATAATAAATTTTGATTAGCTAATTTTATTAAGCAAAATTTTAATTTATTGAGTTAATATAATCATTAAGTATATTATATTTTTATTTTTATATTATTAAATGATTAAATTTGACTACATTTATATAATATTTATTTTATTCATAATTTTTTTTTAAATAAGATAAATCAAATAATCTAAATATAAAAGAATTCTTTATAATATAAAATCATATTTTAATCAAAATAATAAGAAAATTAATAAAATAAAATTTTCTGATTTACTATATATATTGTTATACGAGTTGATTGCAAAGTCTACTGATTAAAAAATAGACTTTAATGCATATAACAACGTTTTAGATATCTGAAGGATAATAATTTATATTAATAATCCTAAAGTTTTATTAACGTCAATAGAATTATCAATGTAAATTACTTATATGTTTATATAGAAGAGCAATAATGATGAATTGGGTTTTATGTTACGAGTTTAACTAATTAAAGTTATAAGGTAAAAGGTTAGTTTTATTAATTAAAAAAATTGGAATCAATACTATTTAATAATTTAAATAAGCTCTTGTTCGCGAACTTACAAAATTAAAGAATAAATTATAAAATAAACTATATTAAAACTGTATTTGAAAATCTATCTAATAACTAATATCAAGACTATCTAGCTTGATTTCACTAAAAACTAACCAACTTATTGACTTAAACTAACTTAAACTCCTACTAGAATACATGAAATTCCTATCCTATTTATATAAAACTTTGGGTCTAATTCTATTACTATATTAAGATAAAGTACAACTTAATAAACTACAAAAATCTTGTAAACATTTTTAACTTAATTAACAAATTCAACTAAGTAAACTACATTAACTATATAAACATATTTAAATTCGTTAACAATGTTTTTTTTTTTTTAACTTTTAACGATGTGGTACTTTCACGAGTTTATTAATTAGATTTATTGTTTAAATGCACTAATCTATAAAAGTAAAAGATACAAATAAGAAATCTAGACTAAATTATAGCTACTCCTATGATTCTATTTCAAGCCCGTTTGAGCTAACTAATCATTGACTTTCCCTCCAAGAAGTTCACTAAAATCATTTCTAATGAACAATTTGTCAACGAGAAAAGCAAATGAGATTGTCAATAACATAATGCTATTCCTTTAACTAACACTAATCTCCTAATTCACAAAAAAATTAACATCCTCCAGAACACACGAACCCGAGATTAGCTTCTGAAAAAAGAAAGATTAAAAGACAACTAACTCCAACAAATTCCTAGCTAAAATGCCTGGTTGATTTCAAGTTACAGCGACCTTTCACAATAGGAACACTCAAAATACTAAGTTCTATTAGAGGCTCTTCGGATAACTCAAACTTCTATATTGATATATCTGTCAATTCAGATTACAGCTGCTAACAAAAGCACAGAGCCCAAAACATATAGTTGCAAGAACTGGAAAATTCTACTAGGATTGGCAGACTCTATAATGTCAGGAAATCTTCAAAAGAATGTTGTTATTTATGAAGATAATTGGATAGTCATCATGTAAGATTTATTTATATCTAAAGATATGTCAATCCTGATTATCATTTCAGATACCTCTTGATGCTCACTTTTTGTAGGCAAAAAAGAAAAAAAAACAAACGAGAAAAATATTCAAGAGAAGTGGTGAAAAAAATATTTTAACAAAAAAACATCACCGTTTGGACTAACAATGAAATATTTTTTGGTTGAGGGTATGAGAAATAAAGAGAGAAATATTTTTGAAAAGAGGAGTTGTTGTTTTTGTTTGCAGGCTAAGCCATGGCTGCCCTTGAACAAACATATTTTTTACATAAAAATTCTTGGACAAAATCTAACAAGAGATAAAGAGTTTGAATTCGTTGTTTAAATTCGTTAATGACGTTTTTTTTTAACGATGTGGTACTGTCATAAGTTTATTATATTTATGTTAACATATTACAAATAAAATTAAATGAGAAAAAATAAAATTAAAAGTAAAACAATAAAAAACTAAACTATGACTATCTTCCGTAATTCTTTTACAAATCCGTTTGGATTGACCAATTACTAGAACATCTCTCAAAAGAAACAAAAAAATCCATATTTGATAATTAAATCGTTGACAAGATATTTAAATGAAACTGCCAGTACCTATCTAAGAAATCAAATCAAGAGAAACCAAATTTTGTAGCTGAAGTAATCTAACGAATCCAATTATTCAATAAAGGTCTGTTTGCAAATT